GACTGTCTCCAAAGTTGCTATATAATTTTGCATTCCCACCAGCAGTGACTGATTTCTTGTTGCTCCATGTTTTTGCCAGGATTTGGGATTATCAGTGTTCCATTCAGGTGTGTAGTAATATGTCATTGTTTTAATTTGCATTTTCCTGATGACACATGATGTGAAGTATCTTTTCATATCCTTATTTGCCATCTTTGGTGAGGTATCTGTTCAGGTCATATTTTTAAATTGGATGATTTGTGTTCTTATTGTTGAGTTTTAAGAGTTCTTTGTACATATTGGATAATAGACCTTTATCAGATGTGTCTTTTGCAAATATTTTCTCCCAGTCAGTAGATTTTTTTTTTTTATCCTCACCCAAGGACATTTTTTTTTTCCATTTTTTGTTCAGATAGAGTGGGAGGAAGAGAGAGAGAGAGAGAGAGAAACATCAATGTGAAAGGGACACATCAAGTGGCTGCCACCCGCACGACCCAGCCAGGACTGGGACAAACTGCAACCGAGGTATGTGCCCTTAGTGGGAACCAAACCCAGGTCTCTCTGGACCTCAGTTCAACGCTCTAACTGCTGAGCCAAACCAGCCAGGGCCAGTCAGTAGATTTTTTTACTCATTCTCTTGACATTGAAAAATCTCAGAGCAGAGATTTTTAGTCTTAATGAAATCTAACCTAACATTTATTTCTTTCATGGATTTTGCTTTTGTGTTGTATCTAAAAAGTTATCACCATATCCATGGTCACATATGTTTCCTCCTATGTTATTTTTTAGAATTTTTATAGTTTTGCATTTTACATTTAGGTCTGTGATCCATTTTGAGTTAATTTTTGTGACGAGTATAAAGTCTGTGTCTAGATTCTTGTTTTTATTTTTGTTATTTTGCATATGGATATCTAATTTTTCCAGCAACATTTGCTGAAAAGACTATTTTTATTTCATTGTATCACTTTTGCTTTGTTATTCAGATGAATACATATAATTGTCTTTAGAAACATAGAAATACAACTGGTAGACCTAAATAGAAGACTATCACCAAGTTGCTACCCAATCAGGGACAACTCGGAAGGATCATCTCAGCTTCAGAATGCCTGAGGCTCTCACTAGAAATGACGGAACCCCAGCTTATCTTCTCCTGCTGCCAAATATTCTTCCATAGCTTTTTTTCACAAATGTTGATCCCAAGAGCACTCCCTAATGAATCTCCTGCATATTGATCTCTGTGTTCAAATCTGGTCCCTGGAGAGCCCAACCTACTACAATTAGTAACTAAATGTCTCATTGAATGACTGTCGTATTGAGAACTATGAATGAAGGCAACAGGGCTAACATTAGGAGTTCTGAAACCAGTTTATGATGCGGGTACAAGAATGACCAAACATGACCTTGACTTCTCACTGTATAAGCAGTGGTCCCCATCCCCTTCTTCCTGCAGAAGGGGTTGTATTAGTTATTACAGAAAAGATTGTCATATCTCCGGGCCCCGAATTCTCCAGGTGTTGAGTAGCAGGTAATCCTAGACAACTCTGATAAACAGCTGAAATCCCAACCAGATGCCCTAGCCCATAAGTGGTCTGATTCTTTCTCCTACTTTCAAACATCTACCCGACACATGCAGAACAGCAGAGAGAGCAAGTTTCGTTCACTAGAGCATAGGATCTCTCTTCCCCACAATCTCCCATGTGTCTAGCAGAGATCCTTACTTCTTCAGATCTCTCTGAGGATGCAGAGGAGGAAGGAAGAGCAGTGGCTTCTATTCTCTCATTGACACTGGTTTTATACAGCTTTTCTTTTCTCCACCGGTCTATGCCTTCACCCTTGCTGGCATTGAGAAATTTATCTTGAACCTTCCATGGATGACAAATGAAGGCCTGGATGAGAACCTCCTTGTACAACAAACAATGTGACTACAAAGGCATAAATTCTTCGTAGAACCAATTATGACTTTTTTGAGATGTTAGAAGGGTTTGGTGGTTAAACTAAGGATGGAAACTATCCTTGTAATGAAGAAAAGTCACTGGGAGAGCCAATGGATAAGTGACCATAGTGTCTGAATGTCCCCAAAGCCCAAGAGAGGATAGTCGGGTGTGAGAAGTTACCAGTAGTTGGTCAGAGCTGACTACTCATAGCAGTGACCTTGAGGGCTTCTTCACAGTTGCCAAGACAACAAGATAAATAGTACAGGGAGTCATATCCTAGATGGAGGACCTGCACCCAGGTCAGCCTCCCCTGCAACCATTGGCTATTTCTCCTGGCATGAGGAACTGAGCCTGTCTAAGTGTCCCAGGTTTTCAGGGCTTGGGCAGGCAGGGTTCACAGAAAAAGCTGTGTCCCTGTGGGTGGCAGCCACTCGATGTGTCCCTTCACGTCGATGTTTCTCACTCTCTCTCCCTTCCTCTCTCTCCCTCCCATTCTATCTGTACAAAAAATGGAAAAATATCCTCTGGTGAGGATAAAAAAAAAAAAAAAAAATAGAAAAAGCTGTGTCCCCATTCAGATAGCCTGACTCCAGGACAGCCTGATGTTCTCCCACAGTCACGGTGAACTTGGCTTGCTCTATAAAAGGAAATAAAGGGGCCAAGGCCATTGCTCTGTGACATGATGAAAGGATATCCATTTTCTCCACTTTCTCCCTGGCCTCATCCATCTCCCCTTCTTCCAGTAGAGGCTTCTCCCTAATCAGAGCTCTAGGACATCATAGAGTTTATTCCAGATTCTGCTACGTGACAAGGGAAGGCTTAAAGGGTACCCACCTAGCCCCACAAAAGGTCACCTAGTACTTCTTGTAAAAATAGTTTATAAGCTTATGCATAGCTTTACTTTTAAAGCATATTCACATGCATTAACTCAATAAGACCCACATTAGCCAAGTGAATTTGGCAAGGGACTTATATAATCCTCACATTTTTCAGAAAGAAAAACTAGAATACACAGTTGAATAAAGGACATGTTCCTTCTTGATTTATGGGGGGGGGGAGTTACAAATGCAGAGAACTTAAATCACAGCTACTTATACATGCAATAATTATCTTTTTTGAAAATTAAATGAAGATTGTACTACCACAGAATATCCTAGAAACATGGTCAGCCTACTTATAGGGCATGAAATAAACCTTGCAGCTTACTTTAAAACTCCTTTGATAAAAGCTTTAGGGAGAGAGAGATCAAATGTTCTGAGGCTTAGATGAGAGGAGGCTGGAGAACAGGAGTCAGAGTTAAGAGAAAGTGATTGGTCGAGAACATATGAACCTGTGACTCAGAATTTTAAGGTAAGACAGGATGCTCCTTGGAGTGCAGAAATGCAAAAGCAACTTTAAGGTATGCCCCCAACTGAGAGGTCTTGGTTCGATTCTTGGTCAGGGCACATGCCTGGGTTGGAGGCTCAATCCCCAGTAGGGGGCGTGCAAGAGGCAGCTGATTGATGTTTCTCTTTCACACCCAGGTTTCTCTCTCTCTTTCTAAAAAATCAATTAAAAACATTTTAAAATTTTTAAGTATAGTCCCAATACACTTCATGGTGTAGCCACCCAGGGCAACTGGGCACCCCTGGAACAGTGGGGGTTTGCTCCCCCTCTTCTGAAATACTTGCTCCATTTCTCTTCCCTTGAAGTAGGAAACCATTCCAATCAAATAAGGTCCATTCAATAAACATGTTTCTCAGAGGCCTGCTGAATATTTGCTGGGAGCCAAAGAGGTAAAAGCCCCAGCTTAGGAAACAGATCCACTAATTCCTCCTCACATAGAGTAGGATGGGTGATTAAAATGGTATTCCTAGTCTTAAGCCTTTTAAAAAATTATTATTGGTTTATTTATTTTATTTTCATTGCTTGAAATTTGCAACATCTGCATTTTCAGTGTTCAGTTGGAGACTTAGGTGCACAACGTTTTATTCCCAGAAGTAAGGCCAAAGCACCTAGAGAAACTGGAATATTATTGAATTTTTTAAATTGAATTTATTGGGGATGACATTGGTTCACAAAACCATATAGATTTCAAGTGTATAACTCAACAAAACATCATCTGCACACTGCATTGTGCACCCATCACCCAAAGCAAACTCTTTTTGTCCCGTTTTTCCCCCTTACCCACCTCCCCTACCTCCCTTTCCCTCTGGCTATCCCACATTGTTGTCTGGTCTGTTTCCTAGTCATGCACTACAAAGTGCATGAATAATGGCTGCTTCATCTGAGAATTAGCAAATAGTGTACTGTCTACATAGCTGCATATTACTGCTGTTTTTTGGGAAGAAGGATCACCCCACTGAGTAAATCTTACCACAGATTAATAAGGGACATGAGTTTCATTTGTGTTCATTCTGAATCTCCCCGAACTGTGCCTGTGCTTTTGAGCTATAGTAATGTACCACCAAGAAGCTAAGTAGCATCACCTGAGTTTGTTAATACTTTTCATAGAATCACGGGTCCTTAAAAGTAGAAGGGAGCCCAGAGACTGACCAGCCTAACCTTCACACAGCACAGAAAACCCTTCCCCAAAGGCTTCCAACGTCCACACAAACAGAAAGCAGACTTCCGCTGCTTCTGTTGTGTGCACCGCTGGGCTCTACTTTAGCACAAACCCTGCGGCACATTGCATTCTAGAAGTGAGCATCCACAGGGGCCTTTTGGGGATACAGAGGTACTTCTGGAAACCCCGGAAAGCTCTCATGCCACCTCTATATAGGACATGCTCATAAAGCAGATATTTTGTAGTTTTAATTTTTGTAAACTCTCAGATGAATTAGGCTAAATATCTCCAAGCTCTATTCATAATTGCTACAGTAGGTAATTTGTACCTGTGGCAACAGTAATTCAGAGTTATTAATGAAAATGAAGTCTAAAAAAAAAACACAACATTTGAATTCAGGCTGAGGTAAAAACATAGAATATCACAGGTGAATTTTATCTGTTTTCTGTTTCTGCTCTAAAAGACAAATATTGCTTTGGCTGCAATAAGAAAAAAAGTGCATTATCATACACAGTCTGGCGTTGCACATTCATTGAGCATACCTGCAGCCCTTCGATGGCCAGTTTGAGGATGGAAGGTGTCAGTTTGGAGGCTTGTTTGAAGGAAAAATTACTCCAGTCTATGATTAAAAGGAAACCATTTATCTGAAGCTCTGGGTCTTCAATAAGGACTTCCAAGGACAGCAGGATGGCACGGAGGATGTCTGTGAAGGAGTTCCTGCAGCCAGAGCAGAAAGGAGAGGCTGTGCGTGAATAGCAGCAGGGGTCACACTTGGCTTGTGCAGCGCTGGCCTCCTCACTCCGCGGTTTTGTGAGCCCAGCCTACAGGGTAACATTGGTGTTTTGTACCCCAAGTTGACGGAACATGCATTTGCTAAACCTCACAGGAAAAGTGCTCCCAGACTCCCAGGAGGAAGCCTCCCTTTGATCTGACTGCACCAGGGCCCCTAACCTTATGAGGTGGCTCGCTTTTGTTTCCAGGGGTCTCTATACTCTGCCTTCACCACAGCCCTTTCAGTGAAATGCATCCCTTACCCCTCGCTTCCCCCACAGAGCTCTAATCTCCTTTAGGATAGGCTGGGCCATTATCATAGTGTGTCCCGCTACCTAGCTACTCAAAGAATCAGTGCTGAAAAAATGAGGGGAGACCTTAATCAGAGTGCTTATTTAGATTAAACCTCTTGTTCCGTTTGTTTGTTTAAAATCTTGCTAAAAGTGTAAAACAACCATATAATTGATGCTATTTTTTAGCTTCAATTCGTGGGGAGATAAAAAGAAATCATGAAGAATAGCTTATTTTCACTGAAGGTTTACAGAGTGTGATTCGGGAAGGAAATTGCTTTGAGTCCATTGGTAACTATGACAACAGGAAGACCTGAATACAAAGGAGAGTGACAGTTCTCCAGTGTATGATGTGTTCCTCCACATCCTACGTTCCCATTCACCAGCTGATTTTTATTTTAAATAATTTCCAGACATGAAGAAATGATGACATATTCACTCTGCTAATCCCAACAAATTATCAGAACTATAAATTTAAGAAATTAGAGGATTCAGTGTCTTTTTCTTAGTAAGTAAAAAAATATAACCTTGGATGGCAAGGGATGGTAAAATCTGTTACTTCCTTTGGGCTATCATTAGAATCAGAAACCATATCCTCTTGTAAAATCAGTGTGAAATGATCAGATTCTCATGCATTTAAATCTAACCATGTCTAGTGATTCCAGATTTAAAATCAGAAAATCTGTGATGGAACAGTAAACCAGTAAAAATTTACTGAATGCTTATCATAACCTCAGTATTGTGCTTCATACTTGAACACACACAATAGTATGTTATATTTCTACTTTAAAAGAGCCCTTAATTTAGTTGGGATGGGATAGGAGATTAGTAAGATAAGTTAAAAAGGATCAATACAATTGAGTAGTAAGGGAAGGGTTTATGGAAGGGTGAAGGCTTGGGATAAACCTTGAAAAAAAGAGAGAATTTTGAGAGATTATTGAGAGAAGCAAGAGCAAGGAAATTTAGGTGTGACACAGGGGAAGATACAGATATGAGCTCATTCTGTTTCTGTACAGTTCTTTTTACTAAAAATGTGTTCAGCACAGTGAGCCATAATTTTCCTCCTTTAAATATAACCATTGGGTGTGGTTCTGCTAAAAAGATAAAACCTCAGGTCTTCACATACCACGCACTTTCAATTATCTGAATGTGGTGGTCATGAAGCCCCATATAAATCACTAGACTTTAGAAAATTATTAACAATTTTAACCATTTCTCATAGGAAATTGTTTTAATACCCTTCTCCTCATTTTTTTTTCAGACATATTCTCTTTTAAGTTTTAGAGATGTCAAATTCCTATTAACATAGGATAAAGTTTTCATTAGGGCTTTGCTTGGTTTTTGTTTTGCATTCATGTCAAACATGATCTAAAGACCCAAGTCATTTTTGGAGACACAGCTTTGTGTTAGAAAGAAATATTGATTTAACTGGAGCATGGGACCAAAGATTACGAGTTGAAGCAATTCTCAATGGACATATGAAAATGGCCAGTGGTAAGCTAGAAATGACTATTAAGGAATTAGAGAGTCTGATCCCAGATAAACTTTCAAGAATACACACATGGAAAATTCGTGACTGAAAGGCTAAGCCTCGGGTACAGCCTACAGACAGTGCTGACGTTGAAGAAAGAAAAACCGAGGAAATGAAAGGTGAGAGGATCAAGAGAGTACTGTGTTTCAAGAAATCAGGATATGATAAATTACACTGCTGCATCACTGGCCCCAGTTCTTCACTTATTTGAGCATCAACACACCATGTGTTGACCTCATTAATAAAAGCATGCATTTTCCACCCCATGGCTATGTGACTTGATTTAGCAGATGGCGTGTAGCAGAAATGACAGTGTGCCAATTCTGAGCCTAGCTCTTAAAAACCTCAGATGTTGCTAACGGTCCTCTTGTCTTCTGCCATTGCTGTGGTAAAAACATGCTTCAGCCAGCATGAGCTGAAGAGAAGGATGAGAAACACAGACCACTGTGACTCCCCGGCCAACAAACAGATCTTCGTAAGAAAAAGAGCTACCCAGCTGAACCCAGCCTAGATAAACTCCAGCTGTTCCACAGATGTGTGAGCTGTAATAAATCATTGCTTTTTTAAGCCACTGGGTTTGGGGATGGTTCGTTACACAGCAACAACTATCTAATAGCAGAGAGTAGATAACCAAGTCAAATATAACAGAAAGATTTAGGAGAATAAGGAGGAAGAAAGGGCCGTTGTATTTGGTAACAAGTAAATCTTTGGAGAATTTTAAGCCATCACTTTTAGTTGAATGGTGAAGATGAAAATCATTGATTATAAAGATTTTTAACAAATCACTTTAATCACTACCTCATTTTACTTGTATATAAATGAGAGGTAACACCTCTTCCCATCACAGATTCATTTGTATACATTCCCAAGAAAAGACAATAAATTCTTCCTGGAAAGTATGCATTTCCAAGACCAAAACGTTATTGCAAGCGAGGCATTGGTAGTGAATGATTATATTCATGGGATGATCCCAGGAAAAAAGTGAAAGGATGCTGGAGTTCATTGTAGTTTCAAATGTTCAAATGCTTCACTTCTCCAGAGGAACTTGATGGGCAGGAAAACGTTGAATGGAATGTGTCTCAAGTCACCTCTGTTGAGGAGCATAACCCCACCTCATACGGTAGCTGTGACTGTGATCTTAAATTCATTACTTCTTGGCTTCCTCATATGGATTTCCTCATCTTTTTCTTCCTTCCTATGTTGACATATTGAACTCATGAAATTGTCCCAGCCTTTTCTATTTTAAAATACCTGCCACACCAAATATTTTATGTACTTCACCCTCAAGCAGGTGGAGCATAACTTCCCACTCCTTAAGTGGAGACTGAGCACAGCGACTTCCTTCCAGGGACGACAGTGTGGAAAGGAGTAAGAAAGAGTAACTCTATAGTGGAGAAAGCTGGTAAGCACCTCCTCAGCCAGGTGCTTAAGGTTGACATCAACAGGAATTATTCACGGTGAGAATAGTTAGCCCTGATAGAATGGTGAAAATGGTGCCTCTTTGTTCTTTCTTCCAAAAAACATAACCCCTAGATTAATCAAGGGGAAACATTAGACAAATTAAAATTGAGGGACAGTCTATCAAAAGCTGACCAGTCCTCCTCAAAACTGTCAGGTTTATAAAAACCAAGGAGAGTCTGAGAAACTGGCACTGCCAAGAGGAGTCTAAGGAGACGTGAAGAACAAATGTAACGTGCCTTGAATGAGATCCTGGGACAGAAAAGAGGTATTAGGTAAAAACTAAATAAATCTGAATCAAAAATGGACTTTAGTGACCAATAATGTTATAGGGAAACACTGTGCTATTTTCACAGCAACTCTGTAAATCTGAAATTATTCTAAATAAAATTTATGTTTTAAAAAATGCTTACTAAAGTGTTCAGTATGCCATGGTAAATTTCCATGTAATCTACCATTACAAGTTACCTTCTAACAGGTTGCTATGCAAACCAAAATGGTCATAAACAATTCAGCAGCTTCACACAAATTGTGGAAATGGAAACACAACATGACATTTCAAGAATTTCTTCATTCTTCCAATTCATTTAGATTTATACATGTTTTTGAACTCTAATAACACAGAGGGGAAAAGCTATTTTCTATGTTGCCTACAATCACAATTCTATCAATGCAGTTTAGTTCTTGTATCAAAATGAACTAATAGAGACAAATAAATATTTACATTTTCTTAATCCTTCTCTACATTTACTTAGTATTTACACATTCAGGTATGGATTATGTCAGTTTTAGATTGATAATTAAAGGCTCCAATGTGATAATGTATGTGAAAGCACTATATAAACCGCAAGCCAATGAAATGTAAAAAAACTGTCACCAGAAAATAGAAAATTTCAACTTTCCTCCCCCAAATATTAATTTATATTAATTAGAACTTATTAATGGTTTATCAACATGAGGATGACCATTATACTGTGAGAAATTAGATATTATGAACAGTGACTTACTTGTTAGGTTCTACTGTTGTTTGTATAAGTTGAGCACCCAACATTGCTTCCTAAGGCTTTAAAATCTAAATCAACAACATAATACAAATGGGATGAAAATAATAAGTGCTTTACCAATAAAAAGATATTTATGTTTCAAAAAGTGACTTCTTTGTTCCTTCAATTTTTGGTGAAGAGTCTAGAACCCAGCTCCCAGAGCTAGACTCACACAAGAAAAACGAAGCTAAATGTGGTCTGATAACTACATACAGATGTGATGTGGTTGCCAGTGAAACTATTTTTTAGTAGTGGGAAGCCACATAGTCAATACTGAAATCACAGTGTTTATTCCTATGCTAATTTTTCTGCATATCACAGCAAGAAGACTGTTAAAATTAGTAGTTAACTTCTTTGGCAATTTCTGTCTTGAAACCTTTTACCTTCACACTCAATATCTAGAAGTGTTTACAATTTTTTTCTTGAAAAAATTTTAAGGTCCTTCTTAGACCATGCAGTAATTTTGCAGATCGTTGGCCACCAAATATCTATCCAAAAACATTCTACCTGGGCATGCTTCTTTACCTCTTCATCCCATCTGAAGCTTCTTTCAAAGTGAATTACTCAAATACTACAGCATGGCTTTCACAGTTACTGTGTGCTTGGCCCCTCCTTGGAAAACGG